TGAGCGTTTGAACCTTAAATCATTATTCTACAAGTCAATGTCATTTTTCACGGGACTAGACCATGTTAGCTGTTCTCCCAATAGGTTTTAATTTCACCAGCTTGTAACTAAAATTATTTACTTTTTTATTTCCATTCGGTATTTTCTAATTTTCATGGCTTGGAGCTCTGGGAAGTACAGGGTTTGTCCTTTAATTTGATGAGTGTTGTTGAATGCATCAAAGTTCAAACCATCAATGGAGCGAAGAAATCAGGCCATGTATTTGTTGGTGAGATAAAGTGGGTCCCCTGCTATCCCACATGTCAAGCCCCTATTTGACGAAATGCAGAGCCTTGCGTAGGAGAGCGTGACTTGTGCTTTATGATTGGGTTTAGCTTGACTTCCATAGCTGCGCCTAAGAGCATCTCCACCCACAAGGGCTAAGTCTAAGGCAAGGACAAGCAAGGGCTGCAACTATTCACGTGAATAGTGTCAGCCTTTGCATTTGTGGTTCCACCCATGAGGGCAAAGTCTAAGGCAAGTCAAGGGCAAGAAAAAAAAATATATGCAACCAAATATAAAATTGTTATGTATTTATAGGGAAAGTGAATAAAATTGTTATGTATTTATAGGGAAAATATCCATAATTTTTTTTTTTTTTTTTTTTTTTTTTTTTTTTTATTTTGAAAAAAAAAATAAAATGAATGAATTTTTTTAATTTTTTTGAATTTTTTTTTGCTGACGTCAGCGCCCTCGGGCTGAAGCCCAGGCGAAAGTTGCCCTTGGGCCTGCCCGGGCTGGTGGGACCTAGCCATTGCCCGAGCTCTTTTCTGCGCGCTGGAGGGGAGTTGGGCTGCCAGGGGGGGCCTTTTGCCCAGGTTTGGGTGAGCGCTGGAGTTGCTCTAACAGGCTTCGGTTTAAAGGTTTGGGTTACTCAGGTATCATTTGTGAAATTAACCCTAAATTGTTTTGTTTTAAACTGTTAAAAGTTCGTGTATGCCAATATATATATTATTTTTATTTAATAATATGTGAGAATTTTGTGTATAAGAGGTCAATTTTGTGTGTTTTATTGAATTTTTGTAAAAAAATACGTGTATTAAATATGAAAATGTACATGTATAATAAGAGTATTGTATATATATATATATTTTTTTTAAATGTGAACTTTACGGGGTCTTTAAGACATGTGTAGAACACGGATGTATTATTGAAAAATACGTACTTACATGTATAATACATTATTAAATGCGAGAGTGCAAAATTGTTTAAACGGGTGATAACTCTGGAAAAGTAAAAAATCAAAATGGGACAACAAAGACTCGGGCAATGACCTAATAGTAATGGATAATGTTCTAAACTACTCTCATTGATAAACAAAAATAAGGGAAAAAAATTAAAAGAAAAAAAGATTCCATTATATATATAAAGCGTACAGTCGCTCGGCTATACTCTTTATTAACAAAATTAAAAGAAGAAAAACCCAGTAGTGCCAGGCGGCTATACTATTTTTTAAATTAGAAAAAATTGAGTATAGCCGGACGGCTATACTTTTTTTAAACAAATTTATAAAAACAGGGTATAGCCGGGCGGCTATACTAAAAATTAAGGAAAACCGAGTATAGCCGACCGGCTATACTATTTTTAAAAAAAATTTTAAAAAACCTAGTATAGCTGGGCGGCTGTATTATTTTTAATATAAAGAATCCAAGTACAGCAGCGCCGTTGTACATTCATTCATATTTAGTAAAATACGGAACGGGAAAAGATATTAATAAAATACAAACGTGTTTTATTTGGCAAAATTTTTGCAAATTACAACTTAAATGTTCGGTCACTATAATTTTTTTTTAATATAAATTATTTATATTTTTAAATATATATTATTTTTATTCAATAATATGTGAGAATATGTATATAATACGTGAATTTTGTGTGTCTTATTGAAATTTTTGTAAAAAATAAGTGTAATAAACATGAAAAATATGAACGTACCAATATAATACTAGTATTGTGCATTTGCTTTTTAAAAAAACGTGAACTTTACCGAGTCTTTAAGATGCGTGCAGAACACAGATCTATTATTGAAAAATATGTATGTATGTGTATAATACATTATTAAACGTGAAAGTGCTAAATTGTTTATACGGGTAATAACTCTGAAAAAGTAAAAAATAAAAAGGGGAGAATAGAGACTCAGGTAATGGCTTAATAGTAATGGATAACGCTCTAAACTAATCTTATAGATAAACAAAAATCTAGTAAAAAAACTTAAAAGAAATAAAGGATCGCACTATATATATATATAAAGAGTATAGCCGCCAACTATACTATTTATTAAAAATAATAATAAAACAAGAAAAACAAAGTAAAGCAGTGAGGCTATACAAGTTTTTTTTTAAAAATGGAGTATAACCGACCGGCCATACTATTTGTATAAAAAAACAAAAATGTCCCCCAATTCGCCGCACGGCTATACTTACTTGCAAGGTCCTCTTTTTTAATATAAATAGTTTAGCCGGTCGGCTATACTCGGTTTTTTTATTTTTTATTTTAAAACCGTATAGCCGTGCGGCTGTACTGATTTTGACAACGACTAGGGTCGTCTCCTTTTTTTATAAATAGTATAGCCGGTTGGCTATACGCCTTTTTTTTTTGGCATAAATAGTATAGCCGGCCGGCTATTCTCTATTTTTCTTAAATTTTTTTTTTATATAAAAGAAATAATATAGTCAATACACTATACACTTTATATATATACTAGGATCCTTTTTTCTTTAAAAATTTATCCCCGATTTTCGTTTATTGATAAGAGTAGTTTAGAGCATTATTCATTATTATTATTATTATTAGGTCATTACCTGAGTCTCTATTGTCTCCTTTTCATATTTTACTTTTCTAGAGTTATTACCCATATAAAGAATTTATCACTTTCATGTTTCATACACGTATTATACACATTTTTCACATAATATTGAATAAAAATAATATGTATTAAAATATTTATATATATTATATTAAAATATTATATAGCGATCGAACTTTTCAGCTGTAACTTGCCAAAATTGTTAATGATTACTAAACAATTTATTATGCAACTAAGTTTTACTAGTTTGTAGAGTTGAAATAGCAAATTAATATCTATAAGGTATAAACTAATGCAACTAGGAGGTTCTTTTTTCATAATTTTTTATTATTAAATAGTACAACCATGCATGGCCGTACTTACCTGCACACATAGGCGCCTAATCGCTGGGCGGGTCCTCTTTTTTTAATATAAATAGTATAGCCACACGGCTATACTTCCTTGGACACGTGGGCACCTAATTGCAAGGCAGGTCCTCTTTTTTTTTTCTTTTTTTTTTAATAATATAAATAGTATACCCTGACGGCTATACTTGATTTTTTAAAAAGGACCCGCTTAGAGCTAAGGCGCCACGTGTCGAAAACAATAAAGCCACTTGGCTATACTATTTTTCAAAAAAAATTAGGAAAGAACAAGTATAGCCGGCGGCAATACTATTTTTTAAAAAAAATTAGAAAAAAACCGAGTATAGCTGCTCGCCTCTACTATTTTTGTAAGTTGAATATGTTGGGAGGAATTCAAATAGTCCTAGATTTATTTCAACTTGCTATCCTAGCATGATAATACGTGCTATTCCCATATTAACTACATATGATTTCATGATTAATACAATTGTTGCACTTACAAAACGGGTACAAAGTTTTACAGTCCGTGGAATTTGACACTTGACATGTTACATTGACGATAGCTTTTGCTCACGTTCACATGAATAACTATCTTTAACTCTTCTCATGCATATTCGTAATAAAATATATCATATGATCACACGCGTATGTTAGACGATTGTTCTTTTTAACTTTATGTAATCACACAAAACTCCATTTAAGTTAACAGACCAAAAAGGATCTCCATTGTGATCACAGCAGCTACCGAGCATGGCAACCACACGCAGTAGAAGTGCAGCGGGATATGTAATTGATGTGTTCGTTGTGTTAGGTTAGGTTAGGTCAATTTTTACAAAACATGTTGGGGATGCATCAAGTTAATGCACAAAGTACATGTAATGATGAAAGCTTTTGGAATTATTAAGGAAGGCTACTGTTTTTTGGACCACAAAATAATCAAGTGTTTTAGTTGTACCCTGCCCTACCTGTCTCACATGCCTTGACTTGATTCATTCTTGCCTTTTGTTACCACCACCTTTAGGGTTTGCTTCTACTTTTCTTTTTTTCTTTTTAAATTACTAACTTTTTATCTTTTTCTTTTTTTCTCATTTGTCTCTCTTTCCTTCATACGGTAAATACAAATCAAATGTATATATCAAGAATTAATTCTTTCTTATTTTCTCATATTAATTGATCATATAACGACTAATATATATGAGACATGATTGTAATCATGAAACGTGAATGTGACAAAACTACATTTGTCGTATTCAAGAATATTTTTTCAAAAAGTAGGCGTGCCCATCTTCTTTTCTCATAAGCATGCATTCTATTCTAATTAATTAAATTCATTTATTTACACCTAAGCATGCCTTTAATTACTATTTCTTATCTTAATTTAGTTATTTTCTATATGTTTTGAATCATATCTCTAACATCCAAAGGCATTTTTTTTATATACGTTAAGTAAAACTTTAATTTATGTTCAAGAAAAACTGAAATTAAATATGTTATGAGATGCCAACGTAAAAGCACTTTTAAAAAAAGGAGAAAAGTTTCGAGAGAAAGAAAGGTAAGGTATATATGCTAATGCCCTTGAGATATGTGGTCAGTTCATGAACAGCTAGAACGTTGTTTCTTCTCAACAGAAAACCTCTGGTAGCAAAAATCCTTTACTTGGCTTCAGCCCTTCGTCAACCTCTCACACAGGGCAAAGAACCCTTTATAGGGCACACATTCCTCACGCTTTCCCAACAACCCCACATATCTCAATCCAAATTTTGCAGGAATTAATTTGTGAGCAGTCAGATAGCATTTCATCGTCAGAAAGCATGGGTGTTCTTGCAGCCGTTGCTAAAAATTTGGACACATTAATCGGGTAATTAGCAGAAAACCCACCTAAACTTTTGTTTTTTTGGTTTTTGTGTGGGTGCATATTTTTCCATATTTCATAACTGTATACGGATGTGATATGTCTGTCTTCTGCAAAAAGTGGAAAAAGTCTTGTATGAAGGGCGCTTTTCTCTTAAAATGTCAACTTCCATACACAGAATTTCATCTGTATATAATATAGATGACATCTTGATTTGCTTTAGATTGCATATAAAACGTACATTGTCTGATGCATGAAATAAATAAAACGTACATTGCCTGATGCCACGTAATCACTTAACGACTCCAATAAAGGACGGTGAGATTAATTTTTAGGTTTTCCAAGAGTTCAGATATATGCTTAAAATTTTTAAAAGGTTGGGTACTTGCTTGTAACGACCCTTAAGTTTGGGTACTAATATGTAGTTTACCTTCTTTTTTTTTATAATACTCTTAGCTTGTTGCATATTAACATTAATGTTTTGATCACCATCTTATAACTTGCAAGATTGTTCATGTGGATATTTTGGAAATCTACCCAAAAAAAATGTTTGATCATAAGAACTGCAACTTATTAATTGATGATTCATTTTAAACCAAATAAATAATTAAATTGTCATCGTTTTTCAAGTCTTAAGAATGAACTGATCTTGAGATTTTTTTTTCTTTTGATCATCTGCAGGCCAGGAGTGATGCTTCTTTATCCTTTGTAAGTAAATGACTTCTCCCAATAAGAGAAATTAAAAAGGGTAACAAAAGCAAAGACCTGAGCTAACTAAAATATGTTTCTCCATTTGTGGATCATGAACAGGTATGCATCAATGCGAGCAATCGAGAGCCCTTCCGCACTAGACGATCAACAGTGGCTAACGTATTGGGTTATATATTCCTTTATAACATTATTCGAGCTATCCTGCTGGAAAGTCTTGGCTTGGTAAGTCAAAATTTTAATTTTGCATGCATCTATAAACATACATTCTAACATATTCCATATATGCAAGGGACTTGTAATTCAAAAGTGCGTAGTTGACCTTACACTCGAGATCCTCCATCCCCTAAATATCGCTTGTATAAAAAAGACTTATTCAATGTATTATGTGTGTGTAGGATCCCAATATGGCCGTATATGAAGCTGCTGTTTTGCATGTGGTTGGTGTTGCCATTTTACAATGGGGCAGCCTATATTTATGAGAACATTGTGAGAAAATATGTGAAGCTTGGAGGGTATATGGTGAGCTCAAACAAGCCAGAGGGTCAGAAGAAGGTCCTCCAAATGATGAGCCTGGATGCAAGGAGGTCCGTTGAGCGTTTCATCGATCAACATGGTATTGATGCTTTCGAAAGAGTCGTCAAAGCCGTACGTATAAATTAATGTTAATCATGATCCATTAGTTAATATTTATGCATGCCTTCTATCTGGGATTAAATTGATTAGTGCGTGATCAAATTTTTCAGGCTGAAAAAGAAGCTAGGAAGTACTGAGAAGATGCTGCAAAGACATCTGGTCTTCCTTTTTTTTTCTTTTTTATATTATATAATATGTAAATGTGAAAACTGAAAGAAACAATGAAATTCAATGATATATATGCATGGATTAAATACAGCACTTGTTCTTGATGCGCTGTGTTTTATGTCATGGAGGCCTACTTTTTCTGTTTCTTGTGATTAATCTTCTTTCTTTGGTATATATAATAACTTCTCTCGAGTTTTGGAGAATATGCTTATAAAAGCCAAAAAAAGGCAAAAAAAAACTGACTAAATTCCCTGCTAACCAAAGGATATTAGGAAAACAATAATCACTTCACTTTGTAGAATTCCAGAAACAGAATGATGTAGTCTGAAAAGAACTTGAATTCTAAGATAAGCACATAACGCCACTACTGCAATGTCATATTTTACAGAAGCCATGTGGGGAGGGAATACATTGCTGAAGAAACAGATGTTAAAAATACAAAGTTTTTCGACAGTTATAATTGGAAAAGTGTTTCGAATTGTCACTGCAAGTGCAACGGCGCCGAATCATGTATGAACTATGCTGGTATTCACACATGAACATTTCTGTATCCTGGACTAAGTAGTGATCCTGCTGCATTCACGAAAAATGTGATGCTTATAAGCATGACAGATAATAAAAAAAATTAAGATGATGGGGAAGGAAAATATTTTCAATCAAATAAGACTTACTTCTAAAACCTGTAAATCTTTGTTGATTTCTTCTGAGGCTCTGGTTCTCTACAACCATTAGGTACTGCAACAAAGGGGATAGTTGAATGGATTGGCCTGGAGATATCCTGATCCACATTTTGAGTGGGTTTTAGGATGTGTTTTGCTCCTGCACATAGTTTAATGGGACCAGATTTCACCATACCATCTACTTTGGAGGACTCAATTCCAAAGCTTCCGAATCCATCCTCTTGAATTTCATGTAGGCTGCAACCCAAATCACTTGCTTTCGTCCTACTCAAGTCAACATCAAGTGCTCTCGAAGTAGACTGCATTTCACTGAAAAAGTTCCCTCTTGATGACCCTGCAACAGCACTCAACTTTTCTTGCATTTCTAAGTTGAACATGTTAGGAGGAATTGTTGAATCAACTGCTTTTACTGCAAGTCTCTTAGTTTTCTTGCAAGGATAAGGGTCTTTGATACCAAAATCTTTTGATTTCAATCTGTCTTTTACATTGGTTCTGTTTCTGTAGCCCATATTGATGGCAGACATTGCTTTTTGATTTCCTCCTGTATTGGCTGGAGCATGTGGAGGCAGAAATGTAGTTGCCGGACTAGGTGAACTCATCACTTGTGAATGATAGGTCATCAAATTGCAAGGATAAGAAAATTCAGATGAATGATGCATGAACGGCGCGGTGAAAATATCACTTCTCGGCATAATATGATGATGGTTTTTCCTACCCACATCTGGAAAAGATTGAGAAGCTGTATTTGGTGGTTTTCCCTGTAGTGTTGCATGTAACAACCAAGGGGGCAGGCCCTTGGAGGAGCTCTGAAACCATGGTGATTGGACATTTTCTCTGCATTCCGGATTTAGGAAAGGAAAGTCAAATGCTGATTTTGTAAAATGTGGTGGGTTCTGCTTGTAATTGAATTCAGCAGGTCTTAAAACCCCATGTCCACAGGTAGTTTGTGGAGCAGAAAATACAGGTAGTTGAGAGCCAAACTGTAGAGATTCAGCTCCAGATATGAAGGCTTCTGGGAAGTTGGGTGCCCTATTAAACATTGCAGGTGAAGTGGGTAACTGAGCAAAATGGATCAAATTCGAACTTGGACTTCTGTCGGTGGTAAGGCTGCCATTTTGAAAATCTGAATTGCTTTGCCAGTTGTGGTAAGGATGAGGAAATCTATATTCTGGGGCTTTCATCAGAAAATTTTGTAGAGAGGCGTGTTCGCTGTGAATTTCTGAAGACTGTGCTACAGTTTCTTTCAACTTCCCTGATGCCGTGTCTGGAAGCCAACTCTGCTGGAAATTCTTGTTCAAGGAAGAACTATGCAAGGCAGTACTTGAAGGACAATGCTCTGCTATAATCTCCTTATCTGTCCAAACTTTTCCATCCTCAAATCCTTGAATCTCTCTGCTACTTTTACCAATTGCAACATCTTTTCCCATTAACCGCATTGTTGGTTGATTCATATTCGACGATGTGTGACCTGAATTATCCATAGGGATCATTCCCACTGTCTTTTGGTTCTGTACCTGGTCAAATTGTCTGCATCCACTGGTAGAGATATTCATGAGGTTCAGGCCTGAATCAAGCGGATGAAAAGAGTAGCTGCTTCTGCTGCTCTCAAAATCAAGCTGGTGTATACCTGCTCTTTGAGTGCTATCCAAGTAAGTAACACCTAACCTGTCTGGAAAATGTGAATTAAAATTCTCTTTAACATAATTCTGCATAGGAAACAAATTCAACTGATCATTTGGAAGTTCTTTCTCCACAAAATGCTTCTTGTATGCAGTCAAAGAATCTTCCATACTCGTTCTGTGGGTAAAGTTATGCGCTGGTAAGCTACTCGTACTCATCAACTGGGTAAAATTCTGCACAGGTAAGCTACTGGAGGTCCCTGCTATAGTATCCAACTTCCTCAGCTGGTTGAACCCACTTCTACCTGTTGGACTCAACTGGATTAGTTCACCGTGCGAATTGAGAGGCAAACCAATAAAATCCTCATCCAAGCACCTTTCCCTAAAGGAACCTGCTCTTTGTTTCCACTCTGGAAAGGGATATGAGGCACCCATCAAGTTCATGGGAGGACATAATGATTGGCGGTGCAGACCATGATCACTAAATTTATCTATTTCAGATTCTGAAGGGAATGGAATGCCCCCCCTTGCAATCTCATTGAAAGTGAAACTAGATGAAAAAGGTTCAGGAAATGCTCCTGCATTTTCCCTTGAACTCATAGCAGCAACACCATGGATAGGATGTGCAATATGATCAATCATCGTCCCACTGGAACCAAAAGCTCTGGAAACAGCAACTCCATGAGTATTTATGTGTGGTTCTTCTAGAGCAGATATCAATCTTGGAATGCCAGCATATGCAGGTTTATGTGAGGCGATTGGGTAGCCTTGACCGAACATACTCAAATTATTATCTTCAGTTGCAGCTCTACTTGCTGGTACAGATTTATCAGGCAAATGCTTTACTTTTTCCTGATGAGTAATATGTGGCCTCAGAAAATTTGGTATATCAGCATGATCAGATATTTTAGGCAATTCCTTCCTTCCAATTATACTGCAGGCCTCAGTTCCATTATCTGTGCCAATTGAAACATGATTTTCTCTTCTGTCTACCTCCATGGGGGCTGCTTCTTTATTACTGTCAGCAGACTGGTCCTTCTCAGATGAACTAACAAAGATATCAGAAGATAAGTTGCCAACAGTATTGTGTTGAAAGGAAGACAATCCATTCTTCCTTGGGCCAAGTATGTGATTCTTGTCAGAAAACCTAACATGCCTTTCTGAGTGTTGAATACCACGAGGATTTGCTTGACTATCACCTTGCATGCTGCAAAATGCGGAGTTCTGACCACAAACGTCATGATTCTTGAGAATGCTGCGAACAGCAAAAATTTGCTTCTGATGCTTAGGAATCAATTTGGATGTTTGAACTACTTTTCTCTTCTTTGTAGATAAGTATTTCAGATTTGGCGTCCTTGCACGGACAGTTACACCATCCCAAATGTCCAGTGCAAACTTCTTATTCAGCTTTTTGGCAAAAGTGACTGGATTTTGTAATTTGAGTTTGCAAGACTTCTCCTGATTCAGACAAGAAAGTCATTACACCATTTCATATAAATTTTTCAATCAAAACACATTATCATATACAAATCTTCATTCATAGATCATCCTTGCAAAAAATCATGCAAATTGAAAATCATTAAGGCTTCTAATAGAGACCTACAAAATAGACAAACATGGTGCTTTAAGAAAATACTATAATAACAACCATCTAATTGAGTAGTCAAATGGTCTCGGATCCAAGTTATTTTTTGCATAGATGATATTTGAGGGAATATCTAAACACTAAACTGTTCGGATCATTGAAATACAATATGTAGTGGACCCCACAAGGGTGTTCCTCAAGTAAACTTATATATCAAATATATCAAGATTTATATGTTGTTGGACTCTTCAATTAAAAAAATAAAGTACGTTAAGCATCAACTGTAGACAGGTAATTTCAGTCAATGAGATCAGTCGACCGAATCACAAAACCATAAATCAAGCAGTCTTGAAATTCAGCTGCGTTGCAAATAAGGTGTCATCTGTCCAACTCCATTACAAAGGATTGTAAGCTGTCGGTGCATATTACCCTCTCTCTATCTGAGGATTTCCAAATAATCAGTTTCATATAAAAACTAGCAGCATCCTAGAGAATGCTCTCTTGTCTAAACCATTTGTCTCGCGATTCAAACATTCACATTATGGACATATATAGCTGGTTCAAGCAAGATAAACTGAGACTCATAATGTCCATCCTTCTTTCAATCAATGGCATCAAGTAGCTGTGTAAAACTTCATATGGAGATTGTTCTAGACCACTAGATCAAAGTAGCCATAGTGCTGCTTCAAATTCAGAATTCCTATACAGTGAATTTTGCAGAAAGGAATCATCATCTCGAACTGCATATCATATTTATCTTAGAACAATTAGACCGATTCATCTTCTGGAGTGAAATATCATCCTTCGGTATCACCCTCTCGAACTACATATCAGGCCATGCCACAAAGATTAAGAAAGTGCAAAACGAAGAAAGGGCTCCAAATACAAGGACAAACACCCATGCAACAAATCTCTTATTCTTACATAATTCCAAACTTTCAAGACCCCATATCCAGCCAAGTAGCTAATATAAGCAGAATAAACTCCGCTTAACAAGATCTTGTCCATACGATAAAGATGTTTCACTGTTCGAGTCACAGTATTCTGATGACATGATGACAGAAGAATGCAAATCATCTACAACTTAAAATGATCAGTACACCCAGCATGCATCATATACACGCCCTTCCAAACGGTCAACCAATGGAGCAACATCCCAAAACAGTCCTCCATAACCTTCTGTGATGACTTTTTAATCTCTCCATATATAAAGTGATGTATATATTGAAATCAGAAGTTGAAGAAGTGGTGGACCCAGAAACTCCGAATGCCAACCAGAAACTCCAAAATATGAAAGCCAAAGACCAAGAAGATCATACAAAACAACAGTACTTCTTGCCCATTTCCACAAAGAAACGATGACATTTTTGTATTGCATCTCTAGATGATCAGAAATCAACCCGTTTCCGTTACAATCATATATATGTAAGACTTTGCAAAATTGCTTTCAAATTACCACACTTTTAAGCATAATAGCTAGAACCCATCAGTCATAAACACAGAAGCCCACCACTTAAGAATCTCAATCCAATCTCCCATCAATCTATATCAATGTCATTAATCAAACACCAGCTGCCATCTGATCAAAATCAGAGGGTACTTTGACCCCCAATTCCCAAATGATTATCTCCACAGTGGGGTAAAGACATCATCATTGATTAGCCCAGGATACACTTTGCTAAACCAAGGACAAAAACTGATCCCCCAACCTATCTAAAACCCCTTTTTTCTGTTCAAATCAAACCCGTACTGTACAGCTGGAGCACCAACCATCCTTCTCCATAACCCAATGAAAATCCTCCCAAAAATAACAACCCATAAAATCTCCTGCATACTATTTTGTTTCTAACATTTGTTCTCCTTTATTCTCAGGACCTCATTGCTGCTAAGTTGTTGAGACAAGGTAGTCACAAATGTATTGCAGTAATTTTATGCACAAAGTGTGAGGCAAAGAAAAAAAGGAGAGCAAACAACCAAATGATAATATTGCAACTCAATTTATGATATGAATCATGAAAACATATATACGCATTAGTATTTTATGGTATAAAAATTGACCACATACCTTGTTTGCAATTAACCCATCATTCTTCTTCTTCTTATTCTTCTTATTCTTCATCACCATCTTCTTGTTGAACTTCTTGTTCTCCTCCAACAACACCACCTTCTTCTTCTCCTTCTTCCTTTTCTTCACCTTCTTTGGCTTCAACCTTGAAACACTGAAACTACTATCACCACCACTCTCACCCAACAGCTCACAATCTTCATCATCACCATCTTCATCTTCTTCGTAATGATTTTGGATCTGAGGCGCCACGGCGAAAATCTCAGCAATAGATCTCTTCTTGGGTACTTTGGACTTGGCCTTCCTCATCTGCCTCCGTTCCTCCCTCGACGCCTGAGCAAGGCAGCTGTCGATATGCGCATTCACGGCGTTGACAGTGGCCGATGAGAAATCTTTACAAACTGGACAAACCAACGACGACGACGTCTCAGACGATTTCTGGGTTTCCTGAGACTCGACCTCAGCCTCAAGCTCATCGGCAACGGCAGTGAATTCGATGTCGTTTCTGGGGATATCTGAGCTTTCTTTGTTAACAAGCGTTAACATCTGTTCTGGGTGGTGGGGGTGGGGATTAGTGGATGCTCTTAAGCGGTGGAGCTCGTGGGCCCACCACTTGAACTTGGTGATAGTGATCGGAGGAAGCAAGGCCTCGACTTGTTCCTTCTTCTTCTTCTTCTTCTTCTCCTTCATATCTTCATCATCTTCATCAGCATCATGATTGTCTGCAGCAGTGAAGGGATAGGATTTGAACACGTCCACGGTTCTCATCTTTGCCGCGTACTCTCTGCAACAGACGAAATCAAAAGCAGCATATAAATTGTAAAGCAGAGAAACACTCACTGAATCTGAGCTGAACAGTAAGCAGCAAAGCTTACCGGATGGAGAAGCCTTCAAACGCAACAGCCATGGTCGTTTTGGAAGAGATTATTATTCTTTGAAGAAGAAGAAGAAGAGAAGGAAATGAGGATAAGGGTTGTAGCTAGGTAGAGAGAGAGAGAAGAGAATCAAAGAGCAAAGCTTTAGAGGAGGATAGAGAAAATGAGAGAAAGGAAGAGAGAGAGAGAGATAGAGAGGTGTTTGTGTTGTACTTTTTTTTTTCTTTTCTTTCTTGAGTTTATTATTATTTTCTTTTTCCCGCTCGATGGAGGGAAGGACAGACAGACTGAAGACTGAAGAGAAGTACTGATGGGCTGAAGAGGTGGTGGTATTTGCTATAGCTTTCTTCTCTCTCCTTCTCTCTCTTTCTCTCTCTAACAACAAGAGCAGCAGCAGCACTTTCTTTGCTTTCTTTCCCCCTATTTATGACTGACAGCGACCTGTGAGACCCCTACGCAAAACGCTAAAGTGACCCAACACAACTACTCTCTCTCTCTCTCTCTCTCTATCTCTCTCTCATCCCCACACCCTTACCTGTTTTTCCCATTCTTTTACATTTTTCTTTCTTTTCCTTTTATATACTTATACGTGAGGAACAGTTTTGGTATTATTGTGTATATCTAATATAGTATCTGACATGAAGATGCGATGCATTGAATTCATTTATATTATAACACATTCCATTCATATTATAACACATTCACAAAACGTAATACTATCGTAACACAATAATGTTGTGATAAGAATACATTTCAAAATATCTTGCGAACATTACTTTTACATTTTGTACGCACGTAAAGAATAATATTTTCTTTTCATTATGGTGTAAGTTTGCAGAATTTTTTGATGACACTGTGAATTGAAATTTCAATTGATCTCAATGATATACTATGTTTTTTTTTCTGTTATCAATTCAATATGCGTCTATATGATATATCAGAAGGAGAAGAATCGAACATAGAATATTGAATGCAAAGTTAAAATATTATTCACCGCTTGAATTACAAAGAGTGCATACTTAAATAAAACCCCATTTTACAATGAGTTATGCAACTCATTTTCATTGAAACTGTGGGCAGTATGAGAGAAGTATTTCTAAAAAAAGGATTATAATCAAACTACTACTTTATTATATCATTTAAACTATATCTAAAAAGTTCGTGTACAAAACAACACCCACATTCGATTATTCTTGTAGCCATAAGCAGTAAGGATTCTGCTATGCCTATGCATTCAAAAGCAACCTCCAACACATCACAACACAACAACATCGCGTGAACATACGCACTTGATTTTATTATTATTATTCTCAAAATAAAATTCAATTACATTGGATTTGCTTTCTCTACACCCTAGGGCGTACCTCATATATAAGTTTCATACATTATATAAGTACGTGTATGTATGTGTATAGTTATTCTTTTATATGAATGTCCGCACGTTATTATTATGCTAATGTCATTGTAAATAAGCAAGAAAACAAGAAGAAATAATACAACATATAAGACATATGCATGATAATAATGTTTAAATATTCGCATGAGAGAATTTCTGCTATATCTCACACACACATATATAAACATGGACCACCACAATTATCTACGTACAGTTTGGAGTAATTTTTAAACTCGCAGTGCGTAGTTAGAAGTGAAATAAGTTTTATTGGTTGTGTTGTGGTGGACCTTTTAGATTTAGACCTTGTGGTGAAGGGCAGGCCCTACTCGTGAATTAACATCAACCTTCTCTCTCACCCCCCCATGTATGGACCACAGTTGCAAACAAATTTATTTAAGTCTACCTACATCAAATGGTAGCTGGTCCCCTGACCTTAAATAGTTTGTGACTTTTGTAAGCTATTTACCAAGACAAAATGCACATGCTAATTATAGATTATAGATTCTCATTAGTTTCAACTTTCATCCACTGTACTAACTAGAAATGGTTATGCAATCCTTACATGTCAACTTGTGGTGTTGACATGTATCCTTATACAGGGGAATTAGTTTTCTCTTACCAAACCATGACAATTTTGCACAAGACGTTCTATATATTTTTCTTAAAGACATGAAGCATTGAGAAAACTTTATTTCTATTCAATTTACTTTGATTTGATTATTATGACGTGATTGATTGTTTTAGGATGAAGTCCAAAATTTGATACTTAAAAACCTAAAACCGAAGCTCTAAAGAATCGTTTTATACCCTAAAGAATAAATTTTGTCAGTAAATATGATCAACGTTGAAGAAAATTGATTAGAAATGAGGTTTTCTCAACGTTTGCACGTGGAATTTTTGTCCATATATATGCTTTCATGAAACAAAATTGTTGATTAGGTGGTGTGTCAACATATTATGCTATAGTATGTGACTATTATTATTGCTCTTAATAACAAGGACAAAACTAGTTGTATATGCAAAGGATTAATTGCATGGAAGGAAGATGTGCATATAATAGAACGGAATAAAGATCCAAGACATAAACCGTGGGAAATTAAATTTCGATGCAGAATGTTATTGATATCTCCACATGTTAAGAGAACCTTACATTGCATATATTCACAAGCTTTGTATTAATTATATACAATGTAAATAATGATGAAAGAAGTATAACATTGTGTCGAGCGGGGTTACCACAGTGGTTGTGGTTCTCTTCCTTTTCCATGTTTGGCACTCAGCATCGAAATCCCAGAGTTTTTTTTTCCTTATAATTAAAAAAAGGGGAAGAAGAATAACACTTTTTATTTCTGGAAAATATTGAATTAAAGAACTAAGAACAATATAAAAGGCGTGCGTGAAACCAAATCCTTCTCTCTTGCGTTGACTAAAATCAAGTAAAACAGAAGTGCACAAGGTACTTATCAAGAACAATGCAAAAAGTGAGCATCTGAATCCCAATTAATTAATAGAGAGCATGCACAAGTAGTTGGAAGCACTTGCAAAATAGAAATTATTTTTATACACAACTGTATATATATATATATACACACAGACATGTATTACATATTTGGTGAGCAGGTCAGCTACTCCCATTCACCTCTCCCTGTAGCAGAATTTAATTGCTACATCCACAAAATCTTTTGTAATAGTTACTTGCAGACTTGCAATTCTCCTCCGCAGGACACATATGCTTCCTACAAGAAGTTGAACTAACATTAATTAAGTACTGGAACTCCTGTAAAATTTATTAGTTTTTTTAATAATTTTCTATTGTAATCCATCGTTTTGTACTTTCTTTATCTGAATGGCATAAGTCTGGGCATATGGGGACCCTCCTAATATCATTTGTGATGTTTAGAGAAAGACGGTTTGTAATCTTCTTTTATGGGTCGATATCGTTTCTTTTAAAAAATCGATCGAATCCTTCATGCAATAATGTTTTGTTAAACTTAGTTCCATCTTCTAACCCATTAATTAGATGTTGTTAGTTTCGTACTCACTAGTTGAATTGCTTGCTCCCACTTACTTATACAAGAAACCAACCAGCAAGATATACAGATGGGTTTGTAATTCTCTTTCGAAGGTGATCAAAGGTAGGGTTTTCCCATTGCCCCAAAAACTAAAGCGAGTAGATATGGCTTTGACTTGTTGGAGAGTGAGCCTAGATGAAGCTCTTGAATTGAAAGTACGATTAATTTGCAAGCCCCATGATGGTGACCGTTGATTTTTTATACCCTATTTTTAATGCGCCATCCCTCTCTTCCCAGTCCCCCACTACACTTTCTACAATTCAACATCATCATATGCATTGTTTTTTTATATTATATTATCCTTGTGCTGTTATGCATGCATGCATGGTAAATTATCGGTTAAAAGTTGCTTTTCGTTCTTGTAGTTTGACGTAATTTCCACTCAAATTTTTGTAGTTTGCCCCTTGTAGTTTGTTTTATTGTAATTTAAGAACACATCTAAATTTCCATTCAATTTCTTGACAAAATAAACACATGTCCTCGACGTTGGGGGTATTTTGGAAGGAATTGAATGGAAATTTGGATACATCCTTGAACAGTGATAAAATCGAACTACATGAGTTAAATTGAGAAAATAAAAACTACAAGAACCAAACCACAGTAAAAAAAAATTGAACAAACTACAGAGACCAAAAATGACTTTCTCCTTAAATTATTTATACGTGTGTATGTATGTTGTGTATGATGTATGTGCATGCATGCTTTGCATGTAATATGGATGATAGGTATGCATACATTCATGTGATGATGGAGACAGGCGCTCCGCTCCACTGAGGAGCTGACATAGGCCCCAGCTACCAGAAACATGTGTCCCATGGATAAAGACACAATTGTACGAAAAAAAATAAAATACCAGAGTAAATAAATACTGTTTGCTTTTAACAAAAAAATAAAATAAATAAATTTATACTGTTTGCTTGCCTGCCGATGAAAAAAGAAGAAAGCTACAAGCAGCTAGCGTGTAGTAAAGTTGAAAAAAACGACATCTAACAACTATAGGACAACACCACAGATACTATATTTTTTCTACCACCCACCATTATTATATACATTTTAAACAAATAACGTCATGTTTATTATTTTTATTATATATTTTGGGATATTTGTACAACAAAAAAATCAACTGAATAGATAAGATTATGTACACTGTGTCTATGAATACGATATATTCCCACATCATTCAAACAACTTTATTTACCTTGGTATGGGTGGGTTGTGGATTTTTGCTAGTCTAAAGTACTATAAGGAGATGAGATTTCTCACACACGCATTACTAAGATATTATGAAGGTTCGAATTTGAGATCACTGGTCAAATCAATGCCTATTTTTACTGGGTTAGATCTCGTTGACGAGGATGATACACTCAATCCTGATTTTAAATCCCTAATTAAATCAAATCTTTAGCAAATAAATCCTAATTAAGCTATCCATCTACCAACCAAAATTTGGAACTCACCATTATCGACCAAAATCGGAATATATCCTATAATTTGAGTACTGATATTACATACACGGCCAATTTTTTTCATACTTGCCGTTGCCGATGTCAATTCCAATATGCTA